GATGTGGGACTCGATCCCAGGACCCTGGGATTATGACCTGAGCCGAAGGCAGTCGCCTAACCAACTGAGCCACCCAGGCGCCCCTAAGTTTTTATTTTTAAATTTGTATTTATTTCTTTAAAGTTTTGTTTATTTATTTATTTACTTACTTACTTCTCGCTACACCCAACATGGGGCTCAAACTCACAGCCCCGAGATCAAGAGTCACATGCTCCTCTTACTGAGCCAACCAGGGGCCCCTAATCAAGTTTTTAATTTTAATTCCAGTATAGTTAAAAGAATTTGCATTTTTAACAAGTTCCCAGGTAATGCTAATGCTGCAGGTTCTGGAACAACCACTAGGTTAAGGTTGCTCTTCATTTTATTTTAGAAGAAACTGGAGAAGCAGGGCATTTCAACTTTGCCCATTTAAACCAAAATATTTATCAAGGCTTCCATGTGCCCAGTCCTGGGCCAACTGCTTCTCATACGGTACCTCAATAAATCACTCTATGAGACAGACACTAGTGTTTTCCACTTCACTGACGCCCTGGGAGTTAAATGACTTGCCCAAGTCAAGGCAAAAACTCAGCGTGGGGTAGCTAGCTGGGTTTGACCCAGATGCTCTGCATGCCTCTGGTCTGCCCTCTGTTGAAGAGGGGAGAAATGGCAGGACCTTGGCCTTGTCTGCTTTGTGTGTGCTGATTCAAACCTAAAGTTTGCTTCTTCCCATGATGACAGGCTGTTGCAGATTGGCAGAAACAGATTTTATAAGACTAAGAGTTTCATGGCTAAGCAATCTGTATAAATTAAAATCACTTACAAATAAAAACAGAAATAATTAACAAGCCACCAAGAGAAACAGACAAAATTAGCAATATAGTGTCTTTTCTTCCAAATATCAAGCTCTAAATTCAATAATATCATTCCAAGTGCTTTGTGGGAAGCAGAGTGTTAAAGCTTGATTATGCTACATTAACTTGGCCTTATATTAATGAGGTTAATAAATGAAAACCAAAAGTCTACCTTAAAACGTCTTTTTGCATGGGCTATTCTGGGCCAGGATGGGGTGAAATCTGGCACACATATGGAGGACTAAACTATCTGAAACTACCTGTTGTTATTTGTGGTCTGGGAAGCAGCTTCTCAGTTTGATCAACCAGAATGATTAGGTGGGAAGAAAGGGACAGTGGACTTCCTTCCTGGGCAGAGCTCTTCCAAATTGTTTCCATGGTGTGGGGAGCTAATTATAGTCGCAGAAGGACCCATCTCAACATGCAGCAACTAGGCCTGTTTTATGCTGGGGGCCATCCCCATGGGGCTTGTGCTCTGTGGAAACCTAAGGCAATCTAGTCCTAATGCTTCAGAGGCTCTTGTCAGTGGCTCCGGCCCACAAGAGTTCTGGCACCAAAATCCTATATATATATTTTGCCATATCAAAGTGCGTGAGTCAAGGTGTCAAATCATTGGTTTTCATCTTAAATACCATGTCCCACAGACATTCCTGATCCCCATCCCCACAGCTCACCCTACCTCTTACTCCCACAGTGCAGGGTCAGCAATGGAGGGAGATTTAGGGAAATCATTCATATATTTACTCATCAACTATTTGTTAAATGCTTACTATGTGCTTACAAATCTGTCTTCTTAGAACTGTCAGGCGGGGAGACTTAAAAATGCAGATGAGCAGGCTGGTTGGCTAAATGAAAAAGGCAAGATGGAGCGCTGCCAGCAGCAGGATGGCACGTGTGAGGGCCCAGGGAGAGAAGGTGGAGTCTCTTGAAGCTCTAGAAGGCAGCAGAATGGCTGGAGAAGTGGTGAGGGTGTTCAGAAGGAACACTCACCCTGTTGAAGGCAACCTCAAAAAGTCACACAGCTCTCCAGCACAAGAGAATGTGTGTGTGCGGCACTGTGGGAGCGTGAGTGCGAGACAGAGTGAGCGAGCAAGAGTGAGAGGGTGTGCAGGCCCTCCCTGCAGGCCTCTGTGTGTCGCTCAGAAGGAGTCCAGCCATTCCATCCTCACCTCCACTGACAAACCTGAGGGGCTTCTGGGCCTGTGAACTCCAAGGAGAACCTCTAACTTGGGAGTTGCCAACCCTGGACTCAAGCACCAACCACACCCATTAACTGTGAATGCCTGTGGGTCCTCAAGGGCAAGCTGGAGATGCCTTTGCTGTCAAGGTGAGAATGGACAGTCAGGAACATATAGACGACTCTGCCGTTCTAGAGGAGACGTTCTTGGAAGCTTTAAGCTTAAAGAGAAAGCTGTCCATGGAGAATCTAATTTGGGAATCACATCATTTGTCCTTGCCTCACAATGTGTGCCTTCCTGTGGGCACAAAGTCTGCTCTGACATGCAGGGCTCTGACATGCAGGGTCAACAGAGGGACCATTCCTAGCCTAACTTTTAGGGAAGTGGAGGTTTGTGTAGCCATACAACATGAGTCTTAGGAGGGATGTGAGTTCAAGTATTTCCCAGTCTTTCTACCCCACTCAGAGCCAACCCACTCAATCAGATGGGGTGTCTCAGGAGACCAGAGCAGTATAGTACCTTACTTGACAGTTTATAGACATGGAAGTAGTGGTTCAGAGATATTCCGTGACTTAAGGTCACACTCAAAAGAGATAAAGCTGGGAAAACAGATTTTGTCTGCTGCAATCTGGTATTCCTCACAGAACCAGAGGCATCATAATGGGTTGGTAAGTGATGCATCAAACAGTGATTAAACTGATAAACACCATACAGCATGTTTTTGGAATAAATGCCTCTGAATTATCCTATGTTCTTCTCTGTGACCAACCTGCTCTGTCCCTACCCCTCTAGGAAGTGTCCCAGGGAGATTGTGAGCCCCTGTGACTGGGTCAATGGTTCTCCCTTTGTATCCTTCTAAGTAACCCGAATGGGCCAGAACAAGCCTGAGAAGAGAACCAACACTGCCCTGCTACTGGGGTGGTTAACCCATCAGATTACCCCAGAATTCTGCAACCAGCTTCCTCATCATCTGTGTTGCCAAGCCCAAAGACATTCAATTTCCAGAGCCTCCCTATGGCCCTCCTTCATCCAGGTCCCAATCACAATCATATCACCTCTTGCCTTAAAAACCACCACAGGGTCAAGTCCACACAGGTAAGTTTGGTGTCTGATGCCTCTTCAAAAATGGACCAAACATCTCACCTCTCATTCTTTCCTACACATATTCTGATGGCCTAGACAAGCTGCACTGCAGCCTACCTGCATCATCACGTGCACACTTAACTGTGTGGCACAGCCAAAAAAGAGAGAGGGAGGAACAGAAATAATAATATAAAAATAGTCCTGGACAATTAATCTGTCCACTACTCCAGTCTGTGAGTGAGGTGATGCAGGCCAGGACAGGTAGCCCTGATGTTCCCTCCTGTGGTGCCAGTCCTTGTGGGCTCCTCCCAGGAGGCGCATTTCATCATCCTGCAAATGATCCTAAGATCTAAAGACAGGTATAGTTTGTACTACACAGCTCTTAAATGCAGGCCAAGCACTGCATGAGAAATAAAAGCAGCAATCTGTTCCAACACTGGAGGAAAAACTGGCCATATGGGGCCCAGAGAGACAGGACTATACTTTAGAAGTGGGCAATTTAACATTTTTTCAAGGATAAAACGACCATATGATATTTTTGTGTTGTGCTTTGGTTTCAAATTACTGAGCTCTTTTTCTTTCAAACATAGCTTTCCCACCCCTTCAACTTGCTTACACTCTTTCCTGTGCCTTCTAGATTCAGCTCAAATGTCCCCTCTTCTGGGAAGACCTAATCACACCTTCTCTATGTTCCGTGAGACCATGATTCCCCTCTGTGGCCTAAACCCTAGTACAGGGTCTGGCCTAGAGTCACAGTGAATAAGTATTTGTTGGGGATACCAGCCAGAGACTGGCTAGGCAGTGAGGCAATCAACTCTGTACCTTCAATTCTTCAGGCCTTGCAATGGCACCTATGGGGACACTAATGTGCCAAGTATTCCTGATAAGCTATCCAGAATATGCTGTGACAGTTTGCTCCTAAGTGGGAATGTGGAAGACCTCTTACCTGGTGCAACCATAATTTCATTTTTCTTGGAGCGAATTCGCAGGAAGGTGAGGTCGTTCTGGGGGTCGATTTCACGCACCGTGCTCCGAGCCTTCAAGATGAAGTTGTGCATGAGGTTGGCATACTGTGTGGTGGTGGGATTGTCCATGGTGCTCTTGATGGGAATGCCTGAGGGGAGAGCAGGGACTGAGTAGGAAGTTGGAGCCCCTTTCTGCCCAAATCCCAACCCCACACCCTTAATTCAAGAGTACCGGACTAGCAGTTAACAGTCAATGCCACTATTTACTGAGGACTTGACAGGCACAGTGCTGAGCACTTTAAGTATGGCAGCACCAGTCCCCGGAATTATGCTGGCGGTGGAATCACCATCTTCACTCGCCAATGAGGAAACAGAAGCTCTGAGCCTTCACACAGCACAGAAGCAGTGGGGCTAGGATTCAAATGCAGGCCTGTTGGCTCCACTGCTGGGCTCCTTCCACAGGCCACACTGTCTTCACTGGTTTCCAGCAATAAAAGAAGAGACTATCATTCAGAATACTTAGAACCTGAACAAAGAGGACAGCTCTTGTGAATTTGTAAATACTGAGAAGTAGGAAGAAGAAAAAAAGGTCAGCCTATGCCAAGACATTACCATCACTAGTGCTTTGCTCCAGTTCCCACCAAGGGAGGCTTAGGGCCCAGCTGTAAACACATGTCTATACACATGTTGGTGCCCCTCAAATTAAAGCGTGTTTCTCTGTCTGCATATAGACTTGTACACAGCATCGCTATTGCTTTCAAAGAGCCCACAACTGGCCATTCCACAGAATTAATCACTCCTTTATTGTTGGTACATAGGCTGGATTTTTTTACTTAATTACTGTGCAGTGAACACCATTGTGTACCAAGCCTTTTCTGTTTTGAAGATTGTTTCCTTGCAATGAACTATTAAATGGACCTCCCTTACTGGTTAGTGCCTATCATCATGGAGGTGAAAAATGGGGCTCAGCTTGAGCCACCTCAGGACACAGCCGAATCATCAGGTGCCTATGAATCACCAAGACATATCAGCAGAAGGCTCCACTGAGGAAGACTTAAGTGCCCACAGCTGACAGGCAGTTGTGATGAATGTGGCAAAAATGGCTGCTCACACATAAGTGGCTAGATTTGGGGCCCATGACCCTGCTGGTCTGGCCCACAAGCGACCAGCTTAAAGACTGGCCAAAGGCAATTACCCTCAGGCCTACTCAGAGGTGGCAAGAAGCTGGCCCAATCTTGTCTTCTTAAAGCACAGGAACATGAGAGTGGGCAGAAGAGGACATAATAGCGAGAGAAGCAGCTGAGTCAGAAAGGCTGTTTTGAGCCAAGTGAAGTCATGAGGACAGACTATAGTGATCACTTGCCTTCAAGGGACAAGAGGACTAGATCATTAGGGTTGCTATTGGGTCCTGGGTGGCGACAATGTGCCCACCAGGCCCCACTCCATAGCAGAATCTTCCTAAGGATGGCAGTATGAGCAGCTGGGGTGATGACTGAGGAGGAACTCTGAAATCTGATGACCTGGACTTATACCCTGGCTCTACCCCTTCATGACTATGTGGCCTTACACAAGTGATTTAACCTCTCAAGCTTCCGTTTCTTCATCTGTAAAATAATGCTTGTGCTGTGAGGATTAAATATGGCTAATTCATTTAAAAATGTTTAGCAAGAGTACAAATGTAATGTTGGCTTGTTATCAACATCACTACACAATAAATCCCATCCCCCAGGTAACTTGAGGCCTGGAGAAGTTTGGATGATCAAAACTCTTGACCTTCTCTTCTTATATACCATAAGGCCATCTTCTCTCAGTCCCTCTGCCTGGAACTTTCCTTCCTTCCCCATTCTCTCATAATTCCCACTGATCCCTCAGGTGTCCATTTTCTGGTGGATCTACCCACCTCCAGATGTGGTCAATGCCTCCATTCTACCGATCCCACACAATTTTCCTTCAGAGCAGTTTCCTCTGGAGTTTGATATCACACCATTATGGAAGTGAGCAGGACCAGGTCTGATTTGCTCACCATTGTCCTTAAAGAGACTTCACTAAGCATTTATTACAGACAATAAATGAGTGCTCTCAAGGGCTCCTTCAGCAGTTCGAATACTGTCATGAGTTTGATCACATTTCTACTAAGTGAGATGTGTATAAAGGAGACAAGAAGCTAACCACTTGTTGGCTCACTTTAAAAACAAAAGAAAATGTAGAGGTAGTAAGAAGGCGGGACAGGGACCAAAACTGGGGAGGATTTCAAATAAGGACAAGAGATCAAGTCCAGATTCACAGGATGTCAGAGCTGGAGACACCACAAAGATAGCCAAATGATTAGGTCGCCTACTCTAAGCTTCTGCCTTCACAAATGGGGACTGTGCAGCCTGCAGAAGTAGCTGGTCATGAGGGAGCACGATTTCTAACTTGGGGCTCAGATCTGTCAAGACCAAGGTTGAATACCCAGGTCCTCCCACCAAACCCAGCTTCATCAATCAACAATAAAAAACATTAACAATATTTAACAGAGGCAGTAGCCCCCCGCCTTATCTGTGGTTTCACTTTCCATGGTTTCAGTTACCCGCATCAACTCTGGTCTGGAAGCAGATGATCCTCCTGATCAGGTCAATAGGAGCCTAGTATTGCCTCACAATGCCTATGTCATTCACCTGACTTCACTTCATCATGTAGGCAATTTTATGATCTCACATCATTACAAGAAGGGTGAATACTGTATAACAAGGTATTTTGAGAGACAACATTCACATAATATAGTATACTGTCACTATTGTTTTATTACTAGTTATTGTTGTTAATCTCTTACTATGCCTTATTTATAAATTTAACTTTATCATAAGTATGTACATATAGAAAAAACCATAGTATACATAGGGTTGGGTACTATCCTGGTTTCAGGCATTCACTGGAGGCTTTGGAATGTATGCCCCATGGATAAGGGGGTCTACTGTATTTATTAAGCACCAACTACGTGTCAACATTGTTCTAGGTGCTGGGGATACAGCAATGAACACAAGAGACAAATCTCTGCCCTCATAAAGCTTACACATTTGAGTCTTTTATGTTGCCCTGTGTGGGTAGCAGCAGAAGATGGCAGGGGGTCTGAAGAGGTACAAATGGAATGGAATATTCCTTAAGTTCTTGGTAATTCCATTTAAATTCACACTTTTACTATGAAACATCATTTAAATTTGGCCAAGGCAAAGATGTCAAAGGCAGTGGCAGATGGCTGGTAAGTGACTGGGATAAGGGTGTGTCATTAGTTCAGGGGCAAAAGCAATCACTCTGGGCTGGGGTGGTCGGGAAACGCATCCTGCAGGAAAAGGCAGCTGAGCTGAATCATGGGGGTAGGAAAGCCCTAGATGGGATAATAGGAATCCCTAACTAATCATCCTTCATGGAAGCTTCCAGAGAGCTTAAAGGCCCTATAGAGCAGGGAGTTCTGACCACCTCCATCCACAGCTGGGTGACCTTGAACAGGTCACCTAATTTCTCTCAGCTCTGGGTTTCTCATCTGAAAAATGGGCAAAACCCCTGCCTTGCAGGGTCATGGTGTGAAATGTGAGACTAAAGTGGGAGCTCTGTAGATGGGACACAAATTAAAAATAAATAAATACATGCAATAATTTTAGCATTTATATGGCAGTTACCATACATCAGGTACTGTTCTAAAAGCTTCCCTTAAAGGAAGGTAGTATAATTATCCACGTTTTACAGATGAGGAAGCTGGAACAGAGAGGTTAAGTGACTAGCCTAAGATCACACTGCTGATAAAAATTAAGTAGAGCCAGGATTCAAACCTAGGCAGTCTGGTTCCACATTCTATATTCTTAGCCACTGGGCAATACTGCCACATTAGTATATGAAAAAGAAGTGCCCATTAGTATCCAGAAGGTAAGCATTTGGTGCTATATTCTCCCAATGAAATAGCTCAAGTTTGGGGGCAGTTTTAAAGCAAAACTGAAGGCTGTGGCTTGCAAATACTGATGGAGGCCTATTCCCTCCCCATTTGGGAAACAACCCCAGGAGCTGCTCCCTCCCCATCTGAGGTCAAAAAATGTCCAGTCTAAGACAGTCTCTCTGGGGAGATATACAAATAGTCTTTCAGATCTCGGAGTAAGAAGCAGCCAAAAGAGACTGCCCGGATCAACCACTCCACTTATGGCAGCTGAGGTCTGAAGAAGGGAAGAGGAAGCCCCAGGCCCTCCAGCTGAGCAGTGGCAGACCTGAGCTGGAACCTGCTCCTGCCTCCACAGTGTCCTAAGAGCCCCCAACCTGCTGCCTGCTTTGACCACATGGTATAATTAGAGTTTGACAAAGCTGCGGAGCACATGCTATGCGCTGCCTAGTTCTGGGCTGGCCAGGGTCTAACAACTTGGAAAATAACATTCTAACTAAGGACATGCCACTTCTACTTTTTCACCCTTGATGACTTTCATTCTGCTCTATTTAAGTAGGCATTATTAAGAATTCTGCCTTTCTAAAAACAAGGGTTAGAATGACAACACATACACACAGAACTCTCAAGGAGTCTCGAACAAATCAGAGTTGACTAAATGCACTGCACTAGAGAATGGGGGAGCCCAGCTGGGTGACCCTGGGCATGGCCTGGGCTACAGACCAGCAGCCACTCTCTGTTCCTTCACAGTACAGTGTGGGAGAGAGAGCCCAAGTGCATTCAGACAGACTTGGCATGAAATCTTGGTTCTAAAATGGCAGGCAAAATTAAATGTCTAGACTCCGTCTTCTCTACTGCAAAATGGAGACAACAGGGCTGCTTTACGGAATAAATGAAACAATATGTTTGTAAAGCACTGGCCTGTGGCTTGGCACTGAACAAGTGTGTGATAAATGTTAGTCGTTTTCTTCACCATGTCTACTGCAGTTTGGGAAAATTAGTATCTGTACTCTTCTAGTTGTTGAAATAATGGTATAGAAAAGGAGAGAGGGGTGCCTGGGTGGCTCAGTCGGTTAAGCACCTGACCCTTGATTTCAGCTGAGGTCATGATCTCAGGGTTGTGAGATCGAGCCCCCCACTGGGCTCAGCGCTGGGCATGGAACCTGCTTAGGATTCTCTTTCTCCCTCTCCCTCTGCCCTCCCTGCCTGCCCCACAAAAGGAGGGAAAAGCTATAGGTATTAAGAAGTTGACCAGAGTATTATCTAGTAAAAAAGTAGAAACAGGGGCACCTGGCTGGCTCAGTGGGTAGATTGTGCAGCTCTTGATCTCAGGGTTGTGGGTTTGAGCCCCACACTAGGGGTAGAGTTTACTTAAAAATAAAAGTAGAAACCATATAAATGGTGGATGGTGGATAAACATCGTACTGGCAGTTAAAAATTTTGCTTATGTAAATCATGAAGAAAAAAAGCCAAAAAACAAGCTCATGAGTAAACATATGAAAAAGAGTAACAATTATAATTATGACCAAGAGAAGATGTACCTGGGCAAGGGCTAAAAAGCATGGCATAGTAAAAAGTATCACCTGTCAGGGCAGTGGGATTGAGTGAATTTTTCCTTTTTTAAACTTTGGAATTCCAACAATAGTGCTAGGACACTGGAAGTGCTTAAAAAAGGGTAAAAATTAGATCCTGTATATGAAAGGGCTTAGTAAACAATAAGTGTCATGCTGTGTTTGGGCTGTTTTCTTGGGACCTGCCTGTGAGCAGGTCATGGCCAAAGGGAGGGTGTACCTTCTGTGTTCACCACGATGATGCCCTGTACTCCCTTCTGGCTCTGAAGTCGCTTCAGTGTCTCCTCCACCTCTGCCTGCCAGAGAGAACAAGACCCAGGTTAGGAGGGGTCAGGAAGACCGGACTGACTCCCTCATACTCCCGGCAGATTAATCACACATTTGTCTTCCAATAACAAACAAGTGACATCCAGGCACATGGCACCTCCTCAAAGCTCCCCAGGCCTGTTTGGAGTGGTCCCTGGGCCATCCACAGGGCTTAAACCATCTGCTCACAAACCCCAGCATGGGGCGTGGCTACTCCTGGCTCTTTGCCCACTAGGCACTATTACCTCTCCCTGCTTAGCTATTTGGGAGCAGAATATAAATACCTTTTTTGGGAGTATAGACACATCCATGACTCACATATTTGGGACACTTGGGAGACCAGATTCTGATGATTTGAAAAAACCCTAACAGTGGTGTCTAATAGGAAGGAGACTAAGTTGTCATTTGTGGCCCAAACAGCACAAATGAAAATATTCCAAAGGAAGAAAAATGACTCCATGAGGATAAATTCAGTGACTTAGTAAGCTAGCATCTGAGACAGTGTGACACACGGCACACAGCCACAGGAAATGTGCCTGGGGAAGGGGCTCATTAATCCTGATTCTCCAGAAACTAGCACATGGCATTTGGGAGCTCCCCCTATCATGCCAGGCCTTCTATATTATTATCACTCCCATCTCTTTTACCCTTCCTTCAACTCTCCATCTCCATGCCTATACCTCCCTATCTCTACATCTTTTTTACCCTAACAAGGAAATCCAGTAAATTCTTCTAGGCCATCTAAGACATACCTCTTCCACGAAGCCTTTACTGATCCCCCAACTCTGGAGTCTTTGCCCACTTCTGACTCCCCAAACTCTTGACTGTACCTCTCTAGGAATGCATTAGATACTGGTTTACTTGTTTCTATAATGCTCTGTAGAATAGGTGCTCAGTAAACAACTGCTTAACTGAACTAAGCCAAATCTGTGGATGGAAACTGGCCTTAAAGTGTGCTTGTTCTTAGGAGGCCCCTTCCAGACCAGTCCAGAATCCAGGCAGAAGCTACTCAAAGGCTGAGTCAGGCTATGTTGAAAACAGACGCCATCCACCTAAAGAAAGTGGTTCCCCACCCCCAAGGGCTAATGAGTTGGCCTGCAGGGGAGGAGCTTCTAAACAGTGATGGAGAGAGCACAATGAATTATTGTTTTTCTAGTAGGAACAAGGCTGACAATCCAATCACTACCACCCAGTCCCCAATGATATAAGAATACTCAAATGCTGGAGAGAAGAGCAAACAAGTTCCTCCTACGAGATGGCAAATAGCCTGACACCTCATAAATCTGGAGCCTGAGTAAAAGGACAGGGTTAGCTCTGTGGACATGAGTACAATACAGTGGTTCATGCATGTATGAGGTCATAATTCATTCAAGACTTTCAGTGAGCTCCTATTAAGTGCTATTCTGGGGAGGAGGGGTAAAGTGCAATAGTGGTCAATATTACACAGTACTCAATCTGACCTGGTAACTTTCCCGAAACTCATCCTAAGGAAATAACTTAAAAGAAGAATACAGCAAGATGTCTGCCGCTGTGACACCTGCAGTTGCAAAAAACAGAGAGAGCCAAAAATGCCCAATAATTAGGAAAAAAGCCAATTATATTATAGAATGTCTGTTCACAGGAATATAATACACACATTAACAACGGTAATCAGAATATTTATATCACTACAAAAAGTTTATGATATAACATTAAGTGAAAACAGCTAAATGCAACAATAAAGTGCTTGATGAGGGCACATGAAAACAAGCAAGCTAGGGCTCTGAAAAAAATAAAAGCCACATTGAGAGCAGGGAATTATAGATAAGGTTTTCTTTTTTTTTTAAACAGCGTCTTTTTACTCCATTATACTGTTTCTACTTAAAAACATTTTTTGGGGTGCCTGGGTAGCTCAGTTGGTTAAGTGTCTGACTCTTGGTTTCGGTTCAGGTCATGATCTCAGGGTCATGAGATTGAGTCCCTCCCACATCAGGCTCTGCACTCCGTGCACTCTGCTTGAGATTTTCTCCCTCTCCCCCAACTTGTGCTCTCTCTCTTAAATAAACTAAAAAAAAGAAAAAGAAAGAAAAAAGAAAACCAACAACAAACCACCAAACCCAAACATTTTTTTAACCCTTCTCTGTGTATCCAAGAAAGAGATCTCTAATATGAGGACTGTAGAGCTCTGACATGCTCAGCATTGACAGCTCGGTCAATGTGCAATCAACCTAGAGAAGGGAAAGAAAGCTAAAATCAAAGGTGTCAGAATAGAGGTCTGAAATATCCCCTGGAGGTTTGAAAGTGGGGCTGAAATGAAAAAGATGAATACTTCATAACTGCTATTCACTTCAGCCCTACTTCAGGTATATGGGTACCAGAAAACAATGTGCCAGACATTGTTTTAGGCCTGGGGATGCTATAATGAACAAAATCTAACAAAAACCCTTGGAAGGGGCAGACATTAAAAAAAAAAAAAAAAACCAAGTAAAATATAGTGTCGGATATATCGGATATAGTAGGGAGGGGATCTGGAATGCAGGGGTTGATGGCATTTTTTTTAAGATTTTATTTTGTTTATTTGAGAGAGAAAACACAAGTTGGGGGAGGGGCAGAGGGAGAAGCAGACTCCATGCTGAGCAGGAGCCTGACGTGGGATTCAATCCCAGGACCCTGAGACCATGACCTGAGCCAAAGGCAGATGCCCAACCAACTGAGCCACCCAGGCAGGCAATTTTAAATAAGGTGGTCAGAGAAGGCCTCACCAAGGTGAGAGCTGAGTAGAGATCTGAGTGAAGAAAATGAGGGAACTAATGTGGATTTCTAAGGAGAGTGTTCCAGACAGCATGAAGAGCAAGTACAAGAGCCCTGAGGTAGCATGTTCCAGGGCTCACAGGAACCAGTGTGGCTGAAGTGCAGTGAGCCGCAGGCGGGCAGATGAGAGAGGGAGCCTGGGTCAGACTAGATTTCAGTGGGTTTGGTAGACCACAGCAATGACTTTGATTTTTAATGGGGATGATATGGGGAGCCACTAGCAGGTTTTGAGGAGAGGAGTGACAAGATCTGATGTTTCAAAACAATGGCTCTGGTTGCTGTGTGGAGCACAGACTGCAGGGGGCAAGACCAGCCCGCCTGAGCCTGGGCCCAGACATGTGCCACTCCCTCTGCAGGAAGCAACCTTCTCTCCCTCAGTCACTGCTTGATGTAACTAACTTGCAACTCTTTGGATTCAGCTCATGAGCCTTCTGTGGGAGACCTTCTCCCCTCTTCTGTCCCTCTTTTAGGTACCCTTGGCACCCTGCCTTCACAGCACTTACCACAATGGGATGTAACTATCTGTGCTCCTCTAGACCCAAAACACCCCAGGAACAAGGACCTCAACTTTATAGCCCCACTACCCGGCATAGTATAGGCTCAGTAAATACTTAAGGAACAAATAAAAAGCATTTTTACAACCATGTTTTACAAAAATCAACCTTTCCAAGTATAGGAGGGGGGACATAGCCTTACAATACCCAGGGTAAACAAGAGCTAGGGTTTAGGTGATCCTACGTTTAATGAGAACCCGCGACCAAGACCTGGCTGCTTAAAGAAAACACACACCAAGAAAGGGAGGATATACAATTTATACATTAACCTGCTCAGTACCTGCTACAGGTCAGATATTGGGATGAATGTTTTCAGACACCTCTCTCATCTGAACCTTCCATGGTTAGTAGGATCTCCATTTTACAATGAGGAAATGGGAGATTCAGAAAGGAGTTTTGCCCAAGGACACAGCAGGTCAAGAGAAGAGCTGAATATGCCACTGACCATAACTGATGAGGTCCCTGCCCGCAGAGAGCTCACATTCTGGTGAAGAGACATTCTTTTTTTTTTTTTTTTTAAGATTTTTTATTTATTTAATTGAGAGAGAATGAGCGCAAGTGAGATAGCACAAGCAGAGGGAGCTGCAGGCAGAGGGAGAGGGAGTAGTGGGCTCCCTGGGGAGCCCGATGTGGGGCTTGATCCCAGGACCCCGGAATCATGACCCGAGGGGAAGGCAGGCGCTTAACTGATTGAGCCACCCAGGTGCCCCAAGATTTCTTTCTTTCTTTTTTTTGATGGCTGATGGCGAAGAGACATTAAAAAATCAAGTAACCATGATTCCTGCAGAGTACAGGGACAGGGCTAGGGGGCAGGGGAATATACTTGGCTAGTGTGGTCTGGAACACCTGAGGATGTAATCTTTAAGCAAAGAACTAAATGATGAAAAAGAAAAGCACTCCAGGCAAAGGACTGAAAGCAAAGCCAGTGAAGTGGAAACAAGTTCGGCATGTTTAAGGAATAGAGAGGGCTAGTATTGCCAATGTTTTTTGATTCTTTGCTAATTTGATAGGCAAAAATCATATAACAGAAAGTCAACTTTTCTTTAACTTTTAAGAGTTATCAGTGAAGTTGAAATGAAACTTATTGACTGTTTACATCTCTCAATTTTGAGTCTTTTGATTTTTCCACATACTTGTTGATTTTCAAAAACTTTTGTATGTTAGGAATATTAGACTTTTGACTAGTATATAGTTAAATATAATAAAAATATTTTTCTGTAAGACTAGAGAATAGTCTTTTCCAACATGATCCCAACCAGTAGGATGGGGCTAGGCCTGGTGAGTTGGGGATCATGAGGTCTAGAGGGGTCTCCAGGAGACAGAAGGGCACCAGCTATCTATCTGGGTTCAGGAGAAAGTGCTTAAAACAAACCTCAAGTTCAGACTTAAAAGTGCCAACAAGAAAAACTAATGTTGCCAAAAAGCCACAAGCAGCAATCCTAGGCAGGCATCCAAGTCATGCCAGCTCTAGATCAAACTTTGTCATTCTGCAGAGCTAGCCAACTGGTACCAGAAATATGGTGGATATGTAATAGAGTGGATATGGAGTCCCTCAGGGTTGGCTCACAATCACAATCCTGTCCTGCTCCTAGAGAGAGCCCAACTAGTATCCTCCGCATCCTGGGTCCTAAGTACTACTAACATGGGTGTCTGCATCAGGCAAGAAACAAGCCTTCTGGGTTCTTTAGTTCCTAGCTGCGAGATGCTGACAGATAGAAAACAAATAGCAGTAAAACTCCAGGATTATTTATTGGTTCAGCAAAAGAGGATTAACCATCAGAAGCATATGATTCACAAAGAAACTGTGACCAATCTGACTGCTAAGCATAAACATTTGTATAATTAGTATTGTAAAATTTGTATAAAACAAAAATGAATCAAGAGGACAAAAAAACCTGCATCTAATATAACAAAAGAGTAATTCCAAAACATCACACAAAAATGATTAAGAAAATAAAAGTCTAGGGGCACCTGCGTGGCTCAGTTGGTTAAACGTCTGCCTTCAGCTCAGGTCATGATCCCAGGGTCCTGGGATAGAGTCCTGCATTGGGCTCCCTGCTCAGGCAGGAGTCTGCTTCTCCCTCTACCCCTCCCCCCTACTCGTGATCTCTCTCTCTCTCACCTTCTCTCTCTCAAATAAAGTCTTTAAAAAAAGAAAGAAAAATAAAGTCTAAAAGTTAAGTGGGCAAAAAGGATACTAGCAGAAAATATACCTAAGAGAAATTACAAACACACAAACATGTTCACTGTTTCTTGAAAAAGGAGACATTTCATTTCATTCCTAAAAAAATGAAAAATTGTAGCGATGAAGTACCTTTTTTTTTTAAGATTTTATTTATTTTTTGACAGAGAGAGAGACAGCGAGAGAGGGAACACAAGCAGCGGGAGTGGGAGAGGGAGAAGCAGGCCTCCTGTGGAGCAGGGAGCCCGATGTGGGACTTGATCCCAGGACCCTGGGATCATGACCTAAGCAGAAGGCAGTTGTTTAACGACTGAGCCACCCAGGTGCCCCTGATGAAGTATCTTTTTAAATCTAGCAGTTATGGCAAAATTGGTACAAAGGCAATTCAACCTTCCGGGAAAGCTATAGAACAACACTACTGCAAGACCCATAAGTTTTGGTCCCTTGGCCTTGAAGTTCTTTTCCTGAGAATTTCTCCTAAGGAAATACTCTAATAATTTTTTTAAAATACTCTACACATACAGAAGTACTCATCACAGCGTTATCTCAACTAATGAAGAGCTAGAAATAACCCAAATGTACACCAGGGGGAATGGTTTCACAAATTATGGTACAGCTATTTTACTATTATTTGGTCACTAAAACTTAATTGATCACAAAGGTGATGTAGCAACAAGGTTAAATGTCTTTGGACATTAAATCAAACAAAAAAGAACAAGAATGTACATCTTGAAAAATAGACACATGTGAACCAAGAGGAAGGAGAACATACAAAGATGAAAACAGTTGTGTGGTGAAGTAAACCTAGAGAGAATTATGGATGATTTTTATATCACCATTCTGAAGGGCAATTTGGCAGTTTCTACCAAACTATAAAATATGCATGCCCGAAGTAACACTTCTAGGAATCTATCCTATATCTGACATAAACACTAGCATGAGCACACACACATACACAAAAAGATAACAGTTACTGCACGGGCACCTGAGTGGCTCAGTAAAATGTCTGACTCTTGATTTCGGCTCAGGTCATAATCTCAGGGCCCTGGGATGGAGACCAGAGTCCAGCTCTGTGCTCAGTGGGGAGTCTGCTTGAGAATTCTCTCTCCCTCTCCCCCCGCCCACTTGCATTCTCTCTCTCAAATAAATAAATAAATCTTTAAAAAAGAAGACAACAGTTACTGCAGCACTGTCTACAGTGAAAAACTGTAAATCACCTAAATGTATTTACTGCAATGGAATATCCCCTTAAAAAGAATGAAGATTTGTATATATTGCCATGGAAAAATGTTTGTTATTTTTAAGTGAACAGTGTAAGCTTTAGAAGGAGATATCTCTTTCTATATATAGCCTAAAGTAAACTTAATATGTAGAAATATAAACGTTCCAGTTTCATGTGATAAACAGCTTATATATAAATGTGCTTATGCACTAATCAAATCTAGGAGGAAACACACCCAACTGCCAACAGTCGTTTACCATAGCAGAGTGATCTGGGTACCACATGCACTTTCTACATTACATACTTTGAAACTGCTTAAATTGCTTAATATGTGCATCTAAATATGTTTTGCCTTTATGAGTATAAACACACAGTAGCATGGTACAGGTTACAGTAAACTACCATTTGTGTCAGAAAAAGAGGGAGCAGGGGCGCCTGGGTGGCTCAGTCAGTAAAGCGTCTGCCTTCAGCTCAGGCCATGATCCCAGGGTCCTGGGAGGACTGCTTCTCCCTCTCCCTCTCCCCCTGCTTGTGTTCCCTCTCTCACTATCTCTCTCTCTGTCAAATAAACAAATAAAATCTTTAAAAAAAAAAAAAAGAAAGAAAAAGAGAGAGCCTATACATGCCTGTATTTGCGTGTAGATATATAAGAAACTAATTTTCAACTCTGAAGACTGAGGCTGGGGATCAGGGCTGAGTGGGAGATTTATTTTTCAGTTAGATCCTTTCAGATTATTTTTTCTTACTGTATGCAAGTATCATCTGTTAAAAATTAATTTTTTTTACAGTTTAAAAAGTGATGTGAAAGATGAAGTTACATATGTTTTAGTGATATAAACACATTCTCTGTGGTGTAATAATAAATGAAAAAAGCAGAGTCCACAATTGTACATTCAACAGGAGCTAAACTATATTAAGCGAAAACTGAAGACAGAAAGACAAGAATATGTCTTCTAATTATAAGTGCTTGCCTCTAGGTCATGGCACTGTTCCTTTTTCCTTTGCCATTTTTCTTTTGGGCTTTACATTTTTTTTTTTTTTAAAGATTTTATTTATTTATTTGACAGAGAGAGAGACAGCGAGAGCAGGAGCACAAGCAGGGGGAGTGGGAGAGGGAGAAGCAGGCTTCCCGCCGAGCAGGGAGCCCGATGTGGGACTCGATCCCAGGACCCTGGGATCATGACCTGAGCCGAAGGCAGACGCTTAACGACTGAGCCACCCAGGCGCCCCGTGGGCTTTACATTTTTAAATAAGATTTTTGATTTCACATTTCAGAAGTCTCTTCAAGCTTTCTACAAGTCAGGAGGATAAACACGAGAAAAACCTACAAAGGCATAAAGAGTCAACAGTTCCTGCCAGCAAGGTTTTGGGATGCCCAAGGGTGGACCCCGTCGATTTCTGATTCATGCACCAAGTTCCAGACGCTCGAAAAAACCACAGGGACAGAAAGGCGTCGGTCAAGCTTCTAGGGTTCAAATCAACCTCCGCCATTTCCCGAGGCAAGGCACTTCATTTCACTCGGCTTTAGACTCCAAGAATGTCAAATGGGGATACTGGTCGCACCTACCTCACAGAGCTCTGGTGAGGAGAGCCAAGATACGGAAAGCGCTTAGCAGTGCCTGACACAAATTAAGCTCCCAGGAAACATTACTGTTATCGCGCAACGAGGCCCGGGACGCTAGGATGCAGGGGCCTGTGAGCCGGCCTCCCCATCTCCGTCAGACCTTGCCGAGGCCCCAGCTCCTGCTTCCGGTCAAGGGTCAGAGGGATCCGGTAGCCCCCACTTGGTCCCCTCTGTCCCCTCGGTCCGGGTCTGGAGGCCCGCGCTGCCCGGGTTCCGCCCTTCCGTCAGCTCGGGCCCAGCCCTGCCCAACCCTGCCCAGCCCCGCGGATTCCCAGCCCGGCACTCTGAGACGCCCCCGGAGAATGGAGGGCCAGGCGCAGGGTGGTGGGCGGCCGTATTCGGCCACCTTCCGGCCGCCAGCCACAAGCTCCGGGCGGACACTCACCATGTCCAAACAAACGGGTAGCTCCGCGACGCCGGCACTCCGTCCAGTCCCGGTACCTTTCCGCGCCTGCGCACAGCACCCCTGTCAAAACGGACAGCTCTGGTAGCCTATCAGGAGCCAGCGTGGGACGGGTGGACGGGCGGATCTTTGCTCCCCCAGGGCTTGTAGGGAATTTACCAGGCACTGTCCGAAAGTGAAAAGCAGAGGAGCGCTTCAGCTATGGAAAATTCACAATTCCTTCTGTGCCGATGCTGATTAGTGGTGTCAGAAGAGGATCTCAACTCTCAACCGAGGTCTGAGCTGGCTCTGGAAGCCCTGGGTGGACGGTGGTGGGCGAGTAGGAAAGCGAGGTCGGGGGTTGCTGAGACCCCCTTTGCGCCCTCCTATTAAGGCAAAATGAGGCGCGGTGCCAAAATGCACCGAAGGCACAGTAAAGTCAGGTAGTGGGACTGGAGTCATGCATCTCTGGGGTCTCCAGAGCGACCCCCTTAGGAATATTCCGGGCAGGTTCTCAGATGGGAGTGGTCAGGGCTGGCCTGGAAGTATGCAGGTTTAGGACTCCGGAGTTCAGCTCCACCCCTGGGTTACCTTGGAGAAACCACTTTACATCTCTGTGCTCCCTCATTTTCTCACCTTTAAAAGGGGGGAGCCTTCTTCGCAAAGCCCTACGTTGTCCTATTTTCTGTTCTTTTGCCTTTGTTAGAAAACAAAATTCGTTGGAGTAAATTTGAAGATCTAATTGGCTTTATTACACGAGTCATGAATCGGGCAGCATCCCAGGTAAATAAATAAGAGGGAAGCTCTCCTGAGCTATACAAAGACTTTTACAGTCAGAGAGAGAGGGCATAAAAAAAGAAAGCAATTTATCAGCAAGAACGAATTATTTAGGCCCTTATAAGGGGAGAGGAACGGGTCAGTAAATTTACTAGTATTGACCGGGAAATTCCATGTTGACTGGTTCAAGATTACATTCCTGGGGAGGTTGCTTAATTCAACACAGATAATCTAATTCCAGTTTTTCATTCCACAGCAGCCTCTCTTAATTAGGGAAGAATGTGGTGCTACTTCCAGGGGGGTCTGGATGTTAAAAGGATCGGATAGTGACTTTACAGTAAAGTGAGAAAACTGGGCAGACACCATCTTAATCAGAGGATCAAGGTTAACATTACTAGTAATGGAATATAAACGTTTAGGCAGGCAGGCTTTGGAGTCACAGTCCAGAATTCCAGTTTGCACTCTTGCCACTGAATAGCCTCAAGTTAATCACTTTGAGCCTCCATTTTATTATCTGTAAAATAGAAACAATCATCCCTGAAAGTGGCCAGGAACACTAAAAGACAGTTGCATGTGGCGTATCTAACAATGTTTGGGACATAGTAATAAATGTTGATAGTTGTCCTGGGACTAAGTGAATACAGGTGTGGTATTGGTTGCTAGGATGGGGAAGACAAACAGAAGAGCAGGTCTGAATTAGAAATGAGGAAAAATAATAGTATGAGTGTTTTCACCGTAGATATGACTGCAAATTCTCAAGGTCCTGTCCTGTGAGGTGCCTTGAGGAAACCCTCTTGCCCACAGCAGCTTTGCTTAATGGGAACCTGTTAATAAGGGACCTTCTGAGGTCTTCACCGAAGACCCTCCTCTCCTTGCCAAACAGCAAGATATCCTGGAATCCTCCCGGCAAATGTCCTGACCACAAAGGAGCTCTACAGACACATAGGTTTGTTAACTGAAATAGGCTGGGAATGACAGCAATTTCTGTTCTAGAGTTACACAACAGGAGACATTTCCTAAAAGTCCAGATAACAGCAGTCGGCCACAGCTGAGTCTTGTTCGATGTTTTTTGTATGGTTTGGGACCAGAAAGCCAAATGGTAAGAACAACTATTTCCCATGGAAATTTTCCACATGCTGGGAGGGACCAGTCTTCCCCCATTTTCTCAGCCACACTGAAACTAGATCTTTCTAGCTGCTTATTTGAAACATTAAACAGGATAGGGTCTACTTCTCCGGACCTAGGAGGGACCTGCAGTTTCTGTCCTCTAGTCACTGTTAGTTCAGCGTTAAAAACAAAAACAAAACCAAAACCCAAAACCAAACCAATCCCCTTAGCCTCTCACCACTGGTTCCATTTTAAATGAGAGCATGATCACCTGGTGTCCTAATAAGAAAAAGGTCTACTGAAGCTAGAGAGTAGGACAGCTTTTTGAGGTCAGTCTTGGTAACGAGCTGGTGGTTCTCTACTCAGCACCCATGCTGGGGTCCTGTTTTAGAGCACCTTTAGTTGTCTTAGGAAAGCAGATGTCTTCATTTGGGTTCTCTTCAACATAGGTGACAAATCCAGTCTCACCTCAGTGGGTCTTTCTAGTTTTTTCTACCTACTCCATAGTACAGGCAGGTTATAACCTCCCCACTTAAAAAAGCAGAGAGGCAGAAATCTATACAACTCAATCATACAGAAAGAAGGCTTCACTGTAGGTAGGGAAAACCTCCTTACTCAAGACTAACAGAACAGTGTGCAAATAAAGGACCAAAAAAGTTTAATTATAAACGCAGTCTTACATCTGTTAAGGAAATGCAAGTGAGGCAGCCCCGTGAAGGACCTTTATAAGAGCACTTGACTCCCTGTGATATTTGTAGAGTTACCTGAGTATTTGAAGTTACAGTTCAAGAAAACAAAGGAACTCCAATACAGTAATACACAATCCAGTGCTGCCATTCCGTTTTTAGTAAATGAAAGCATACCATATATACAAATACTTTTGTAAATAACTCTAATAAAAGAAAAACAAAAAATAAGGGGGGGCTGGAGATACCAACAATATTAAGTAGAAGTAATTAACCTAAAGGAGTTCAGATGGAATTACATCCAAAGCAAGGAGGGTAGTATAGAAATAAAGTCTAACTCCATGAGTCATCCCTGGTAACATTTTAGATTATTAACCAGATAAAAAGTGGCAGAGTGGGCTTGACTGAAATAGTTCATTTAGGATGAGATCTTTGTGGGCAAGTGAGTCATTTTTCACTTAAATTTCTGATGCATTGACATTGATACATCAATCTCTTGATGAAAAATTAATACCTGAATTTTAAATAGAGTTATTGTAAGTCTTATGAAATTAGATTCTTCTGCACTCTGATACAAGATCATAAAAGACAGAGCAGGAATTTATTATTATGAGCTGCTGGATCAGTTTTAAACCACTCTATCTGATGAAATGAGTGAGGTCCTTCCCTCCTGACCCAGGCTGTGAAATGCTGCCTTCCCCAATCTCCCAAAAGAGCAGAAGAATAAGGCAATTGCTCATTTTACTTTGTTTTTATTTCAACATAACATGCAGTAAAAAAAAATTAACAGGATTTATTAGCATTTACAATGCTTACAAAGAAAAAGGACTCTAAAAGCAATTTAGTTCAGATTTAAGAAATCGCTCTAATTGAACACTTACAATAAATCTATTTCCAAATGTTCAGTTTGGACCAAAGTTTAAAATAGCATTTGGTAGGTATTTATGTCTGCTGTCTATTTGTAGTATTTTTATATAACCTCTGATTCTTGGGATATCCAGCCCCCATTTTCCTAACACAGCAGGGAAGACATATACATGTGGCCATTTAAATTAAAGGAAGAAATGGAGTAAGGGAGATCCCAGGCTGCAAAAATATATACAAGCATTTACCTTTTCCAGAACTAAACGTTTCTTCCATAAAAATATTAAATAGCCAAGCCCTATAGAACTAGGGCTGGGGCTACTTCAAATATAACTATTCTGTATTTTAAAAATATAGGGCAGAAAGCCTTTTGGGTAGTATTTATACATTTTCACACAATATTTCTAGGTCCCTAAATGAATTATCAAGCACTATGTAGAACCAAAAAGAGTCTACTTTTTTTTACATTATTTAATTTAATCTCATAAATCTCTAGTAAATATTGTAGATAACTACATTTTAAGAATTCACCTCAATAGTAAGACTTTATAGAAGGCTTTATCTCCACAGCCATATATTACCAAAGTTCAGATTTATATAATGAATGGATAGTTGGCAGACATTCGCTCTGTAAGACAAAGCAATAGCATTTTCCCCCTACCAACAAAAAGGCAGAGTCCCTACTTGGAAACAACTACGGCTTTTAAGAGACCATACACTTCCTGGAGTATATGGAATAAAAAACAAAGATAGGGTTGGGGAGAACCTAATCTCCCCCCTTTACACTGACAATTTGTAGATGAGGCAACCCTTTCACTCACTTAAGTCTGCTTTATGATGGCAGTGTTTTAGAGCACAGTTACACAAGTTTAAAAATGTTTTTGTTGTTGTTCCAGAATGTAAGAGTAGTTAGGGACAAAGAAAAACCATTTTCTTTCCATGTGGAACAGGGTTTGCTACTCTCTGCTTATTTTTGGCTCAGTGCTACTTGTTCATGTTATGCTACTGAAACCTGCCAAAGTCCTGTTTCACGAATTATGAGGCTGTCCTCAGGGTTCAGCTGTGATGGGGACTCAGCTGACTGAGGCTTCATCCCACTGTCCATAAAGTTAAACCTCTGACAGCAGCCTTCCTGACAGAGTCTAAGTTAGGCCAAGTTAAAAGAATTAACTATAGAGACATTCAAAAGTGCACTAATCACATATCAATGGAGCAGTATGAAATTAAATAGTCATGGGAAAAAGAAGGAAAAGCCTGTTAAAATTTTCTGGAGTGAACAGAATATCCAATTCAGGACAATGTAAAGAATGGAAAGGACTACTCCAAGGTGTCAGAGAAATGGTAATTTGAAGACTTTTAATTCATACAGAGAATACATTTCTGTGGTTACTAGAAATGTATTGCTAGTAAATGTATTACTCCCTTCTTTTTAGCCAGTACCACAGCTCTCCCTCCCTAATGAAAATGTAATTTAGAGGATGTTTCATTGACCTCTTTCTTTGGGTGTAAAGTACTCTAGTTATAACTTGAATTCTTTAGCAATAATTAAATATAACTGAAGTTGTTGGATTATGATAGATGCAATTTACATATAGGAACATACAAAAATTGTCAATGATGGCCTTTGATGAATTTAGCTAAATTAATTCCAATTCTAGATTAACTTTTATAAAACCACCATGGAGGAAGTACAGTGTTAATATTGTTTGTAAAGTTTAGTATTTGCAATTAAAACAATAAAACTTCCAAATGAAGAGAGTTATAGGGCCATTTGCAGGCTGGGACCAACTTCTCCCTGAATTCAAAGTAACAAAACTGCTTTGTAGAGCGATGCAAGAGTCTTGCATCACTTTCCAAGGATAACAGCAAAATGATGCATGGATTCATGCTCCGGAAGGAAAAACAACAGTCAGGCCAGGCTGAAATGAGAGGGAGAGCACAAGCCAGAAGTTTGCTCACATCCCCAGAAGCTGGGCTAAGTTTGCACTTTTAACAAGTACCTCTCACCACGAGGCTTAAGATCTTACATATTTCATGTACCAAGGGACTTCCCTGCGTATCTGCAGAAATCTCTAAAAGAAAAAAATCTCCCAAGTGAGACTTTTGACACACATATACAAAACTGTTGTTAAGGTAACAATCTAGTGGAGTAAGACAAGGCAGATTTCATTGCTGTGTTAAATCTCATGTTAAGCAAGGTTTGATTAGTCATTTGCAGATCTGATTTCTGGAAACACTGAGTAGAAATCCAGAATCACTGGGAGATAAATCTCAATGATAACATTAATTTACTTACACTCAACTCTCTAAACAGTCACAGCCCAATTTTACAACAAGATGTGCAATAAGCAGAGAAGGAAAAGGACAGACATTGCAAATAAGTTCTTGTCCTTTGGTGGCACAAGTTCTTGGAAGTTACTCTTGTCCAAATCCTTCTGTTTCTTCAATGGCAAATAACAGCTTTTCTTTCAGTTGCTCATAGCTCTTGTACGGTGGCAGGTCCAGGCGGTTAAAACTAAAAGTAAGAATTGTTAGCTTGAGAAAAGGAAATATACAAAGAATCGTATGAGCAGTCCAGTATATAACAACATTGGTTTTAAAGTCAGGCAAAATTGAGTTCAAATCCCAGCTCTGTCACTGGGCCTTTGAACAAGTGCTTTTACCTTTCTCAATTTTGGTTTCTTCTTTGGTAACATGGGAATAACAATATTTATCTTTCAGGGTAGAGTGAAGAACTAACAAGTGTATATAGAACACAGGGCCAAGAGTTACTCCCCTCATACTCTTCCATTCACCCTAATCTAGATTAGTGGTCAGCAAACTTTTTCTGTGAAGGGCTAGATAGTAAATATAGGCTTTGTAGGCCACAGGTCTCTTATCAAAAGGTTTTTAGTACAGATCTTCCTTGACTTACGACGGGGTTACATGTGGATAAACCTATGATAAGTTAAAAATATCATTAAGTCAAAAATGCATTTTAATACATCTAACCTGCCAAACATCATAGCTTAGCCTAGTCTACTTTAAATGTGTTAAGAACAGCTTCATTAGCCTACAGTTGGGCACAATCACTGAACTCAAAACCTATTTTATAATGAATTGTTGAATATCATGTGATTTATTGAATACTGTACTGAAAGTGAAAAGCAGAATGGTTGTATGCATATAGACTGGTTTAAATATACTGGTAGTTTACCCTGATGATTGCTGGCTGATTGGGAGCTGCAGATCACTGCCACTGCCCAGCATCATGAGAGAGTATCATACACATATTGCTAGTCCAAGAAAAGATCAAATTCAAAATTCAAATTACAGTTTCTACTGAATGTATATTACTTTCGCACCATCATAAAGTCAATAAATCTTAAGTCAAACCATCTTAAGTCGGGGACTGTCTATGTACTACTTAAACAATTTTCTGCTTTAATATCTGATATTCTATTCCTACTGAATTTCTCTGTCCTATTCTTGGCTGTGAGGTTTTAAAGGGCATCTTCTAATTTGGGGCCATATTATCATCACCTTTATAAGGTAGTGAGTTTGCCATAAGGCTCTGGCCCCTCTGCTATATTTTAAGGATAAGGCCTAGGCAAATGTTTGACATCAGAAGAAATAATGCTATCCACAAAGGGAAAATAAATCTACAATCATAACTTTTGTTATTTCTTGCAAATGAAAACCTGGAACTTAACAAAGTAATGAGGCTGGGTTTTGTGTGTGACTGAGATAAACCTGTTCACAGGAGTGTAATGGTTCAATCTGTTCCAAGTTTGAAAAAATCAAATCAAAAATGTATTTGTACATGTGTACAAGGTGAATGTACAAAAATCAACTGTATTTCTGTACACTAGCAATGAATAATCTTAACAATCTGAAATGAAATTAAGAAAACAATTCCATTTATAATAGCTTCAAAAAGAATAAAGTACTTCTTCCCCCAAACTGATCTACACATTCAAAGCAATTTGTATCAAAATCCCAGTTGACCTCTTTGTAGAAATGGACAAGCTGATCCTAAAATTCATATGGAAATCCAAAGGACTTAGAATAGCCAAAACAATCTTGAAAAAGTTGGGAGAATTCATACCTCCTAATTTCAAAACTCATTACAAAGCTATAGTAATCAAGACAGTGTGGTACTACCATTAAGGAAAGGCAAATATATCAATGGAATAGAACTGGGAATCCCGAAATAAACCCATGTATTTATGGTCAACTGATTTTCAACAAATGTGCCAATGTTATATTTTAAAAACCATGTGTATGTATATGAATGAAAATATAAAGGAACAGACACTAAAACAAGTATAAAGGGCAGATGGGAGAAATAAAGGAATATCCAGCAAGGTTACTGAAATGTCTCACAAAATAAAGTTCAAATATTGTTGATGTTAGGTGGGATTCCAACATACTGTATTTGAATTAAAATTAGGGTTGTTTTTAGTTCTGTACATTTTTGGAAATGTGGTTAAGTTACATTTATAATGAGAAAATATTTCTGTTCTCCCAAAAGCTATGAAAGCTTGATTTCTTCTGCTTTCAGAGAAAAGTTAAAAGTTTTCCTAGTATCACATTAAAAAAAATTCAGGAGTAGGAAAAGGGACTGACTACAAATGGGCATAAGGGATCATTCTGGAGTGACAGAAATAATCTAAAATTGGTTGATGGTTACTACTCTGTAAATCTACTAAATATGACTGAAATTAAATGAGTAACCTTATGATCTTTAGTAGTTTTACTGTACATAAATTATGCCTCGATAAAGCTATTATAAGTAATTCAATACCATGGGGAAATACTTCATTTCTAATTTCCAACAGGCTTTAATATCTACAGGGTAACTGGAAAAAGGCTATTTTCTCTACTCTTTCTGATTTTACTTACCATGTATGACTTCTGGGTAACCAATTTTCTTTTCCAACTTTTTCAATGCAGAATTTTTGTGGTCCATTGCTCCCTAAAACAGTGAAATCATCAACAGTTTGATACTCAGTGCTTCTCAAATTGTGACCCCCTCAGTCGAGCAGCATCAGCATCACCCGGGAACTTTTAAGAACCACAAATCTGGGGCTCCTGGGTGTCTCAGTCAGTTGAGCATCCAACTCTTGATTTCAGCTTAGGTCATGATCTCAGGGTTGTGAAATCAAGCCCTGCATCAGGCTCCGTGCTCAGCGTGGAGTCTGCTTGGGTTTCTCTCTCTCCCTCTCCCTCTGCCCATCTCTCCACTTGTGCACGCTCTCTCTCTAAAATAAATACAATCTTTAAAAGGAAAAAAAAAACAAACACAAATCCATAGGCCCTACCCAAAGCCTACTGAACTGAATCAGTAGTTTGTGTTTGAACAGGCTTCCAAGTGATTCTGATGAATACTAAAGTTTGAGAACCATTTTGTTAATGTATGCCCAAGAGATGAAAATGCAGTTTTATCTGGCACTCCTTTGCCAGAATAAGAGAATGCTATAACTAGTATACCTAATAAAAGAATACCTAAAAAGCTTAATTTTAGCTTTAAACACAAGAGGAAAACTACAATCCACTGTCTTATACAATAAAACTTTATTTAAATATAACCTGGCGAATTCAATATTAACAATGCTTGTGCTTATAGGTCCTGCAGAACCCTTATACACTTATACCCACTTCTTGTCCCTCCTCTCAGTTACCTTCTGTTACAGACAGAGTGAATGGTGATCCTGAAGCACTGGTTTTCTAAAAGGTCACTACCAATCCCTAGAAAGCATTTATTGGTAGTCTCAATGACTGGTAGTGTTACTGGACTTTAGAAGGGGCCAGGCAAACTAAATGTTCTGCAATGTGTGAGACAGTCATACTCAAAGAATATTCTTACGTCCTTATGTCCCTCTTGACCAGTACAAATATGCATTGGTAGTACTTTTGATTTAATAACATCAAAGTATTTGCACAAGCAGTTATGTGAAAAGTCCAGTAAGACAGGAAATGATGATTATGAAAAAGGATAGTTAAAATTATTAAGCTCAAAATTATGTTAACTCACTCTGAACATTGTCTCTACTCAATACAGCATTTCTAACCACAAAGATGGAATGTTTTTTTGTTTGTTTGTTTTTTAAAGATTTTATTTATTTATTTGAGAGAGAGAGAATGAGAGAGAGCACATGAGAGGGGGGAGGGTCAGAGGGAGAAGCAGACTCCCTGCTGAGCAGGGAGCCCGATGCGGGACTTGATCCCGGGACTCCAGGATCATGACCTGAGCCGAAGGCAGTGGCTTAACCAACTGAGCCACCCAGGCGCCCAAAGATGGAATTTTTTTTTTTTTTTAAAAATTTTTTATTTATTTATTTGACAGAGAGAGACACAGCGAGAGAGGGAACACAAGCAGGGGGAGTGGGAGAGGGAGAAGCAGGCTCCCCGCAGAGCAGGGAGCCCGATGCGGGACTCGATCCCAGGACTCTGGGATCATGACCTGAGCTGAAGGCAGTCGCTTAACCAACTGAGCCACCCAGGCGCCCAAAGATGGAATGTTTTAACAGTGCTAATTAATATATAACAGAAGAGTCTGGATTGCATTCAAAAGACATAGAATCAAATATTAAAAGAGAGAAATAGGAAATGATGGGATCTTAGTGAATTTCACCAGTAAAGGCTATCTTACAAATATGTCATCTCATCCTAAATGCTTTCTAAAACTTTATGGAATGGTAAGACATCAAGTTGTATATATTACATATACTGAAATTATTTTTAGGTTGCCTGCTGTTTTTAATCTTATTCTGACATTGCCCCTAAACCACACAAGTTCTATGTGGACTCTTGCACCTATGTGCCTATTTTCAACCCATTTCAACTTTCAAATAATATGGTCTCTGAGGACTTTTTATGTATCAGAGCCTTGGCCTGTGGTGGAATTTCATCATAGACACCACCTCATTTTTCTCTACTTTGATCATCTGTAATTTATTTTGGCACGTCTATTATCCCTACTTCATTTCGATTATTTCCGTTTTTCTTTCTTCTTTTTTTTTTAAGTAGGCTCCATACCCAGCATGGAGCCCAATGTGGGGCCTGAGCTCACAACCGTGAGATCAAGACCTGAGCCGAGATCAAGACCTGAGCCGAGATCAAGAGTTGGATGCTACACCGACTGAGCCACCCAGGTGTCCCTCCCTCTTTTTTTTTTTTTTTAAGATTTTATTTATTTATTTGACAGAGACAGAGATAGCGAGAGCAGGAACACAAGCAGCGGGAGTGGGAGAGGGAGAGCAGGCTTCCCGCCGAGGAGGGAGCCCGATGTGGGACTCGATCCCAGGACCCTGGGATCATGACCTGAGCCGAAGGCAGACGCTTAACGACTGAGCCACCTAGGCGCCCTCCCTCTTTTTCTTAATCATATTTAATTAAGTCTATTATTTCTTGCCCTTTCTTTTAATTTATTTTCAAGATTTTATTATTTATTTGACAGAGCACAAGCAGAGGGAGAGAGAGGGAGAAGCAGGCTCCCTGCTAAGCAAGGAGTCCGAGGTGTGACTCGATCCCAGGGCCCTGGGATCATGACCCGGGCCGAAGGCAGCTGCTTAACCGACTGAGCCACCCAGGCATCCCTATTTATTTTTTTAAAGATTTTATTTATTTATTTGACAGAGAGGGAACACAAGTAGGGGGAGTGGGAGAGGGAGAAGCAGGCTTCCCGCGGAGCAGGGAGCCCGATGCAGGGCTCTATCCCAGGACCCTGAGATCATGACCCGAGCCGAAGGTAGATGCTTAACAGTTGAGCCACCCAGGCGCCCCTCTTTTATTTTTTTTAAAAGATTTTATTTGTCAGAGAAAGCAAGTGGACAAGTAGGGGGGCAGCAGGGAAAGGGAGAAGCAGGCGAGCAGGGAGCCTGACGCAGGGCTCGATCCCAGGACCGTGGGATTATGACCTGAGCCGAAGGCAGACACTTAACCAACTGAGCCACCCAGATGTCTCTATTTCTTGCTCTTTCTATCTGTTCTTTCATATTCTAGTGTTTCTTATACAGAAAGGTTTCTGATCTTATCTTAAACCCAAACCTTTTAAGTAGGAACAAGTATCTACTAACTAGTATCTTCTAACAGTTGTTCCCAAATATACATTGATTGAGATAAATATTTCATTATAAGTCACTTCTTAAAAATTTTAGTGCTAAGTTTATGTATTTTTTTTTTGAGTTTGTAGGTACTTTTATTTCATGTCTACCAATTTTATTCCAGAATATTGTAGAGGATATTATAAATATTTGTTATAGAAATGGGATGTTAGATCTGTCAAGGTTGAGAACCATCACATTACATTGTTATATACATCATTCTTTTAACTTCCTCCTCCTACACTGGGTGGAAGGTTAAACTAGATGGCCTCTAAAAGTCTGTGAACCACAATCTCCTCTCGGCCTTCCACAGGTATCCTCCTGTGTTATTTTAGATAGCTCCACCCAACCCAAATATTATTCCCAAGAGCAGACTTAGTTCTCATCTCTTAAGTGATCAGATCTCTAGTTTATACTGAAGCTTACACCAGTTTTTACTCATTTTGGTCATTACCTTACTTCCTGAACCACCAACATGGTTTTTCTTTTTCAAATTAAGAGAGCATTCTCAAAAGGTGCCCCTCTCCAAAAACTTAGTGATAATAAACCTTCTCTGAGACCTCTCTGGTGCTGGATTAAAAATCTCCTTTCTATATTGCTTCTGAGAGACCAGAATATTTAGTTCTCCTCTCCTCTCTGGGCTCCAAATTCTTTAAGTCTGCCTCTAGGCTATTTGTCTCATCCCTAAAAACAAGTGTTTCTAAGCATCAGCCCTCTATTCTTTGTATTCTATTTCTGCATAAGCCAGCCTATTCTAATAGCTTCAAGTGTCACTGCTCTACTCTTACCTCTAAACTCCTACTTTGGCAACACCTACTAAACTGCCCCTCTGGCTCCCTGGTTTTCTTCTGATTGTCTGGCAGTTGCCTTGAACTCAAGAGGTTCTAAGGCACTTGTTATCTTCCCTCAAAACCTCTAAACCATGTTCTTTACACTTTACAACTTCTCCATTTCTCTATTTTTCAAAACATGGTTTTATCCTTGGCATTCTTCCTTTATATCTCATCTTCTAATCAAGTCCTATTTCTACCTTTGAAACTTCTCTAGCATTTATCCCTTCTTTTCCATCCCTACCTCCATCTCCTAAGATCAACTGCTCCAGTATTTTCTTCCTCTCTTCAGGGTTTCCCTTATCCTTTAATGCATGCTATACCTTGCTATCAAATCTTCCTAATATGCAGCTTCAGCAAGTTTTCCTCTCTTCAAAAGTTTCCACAGCTTCTAATACCCTCAAAGTAATGTCCAAAATTCTTCTGGTATCCAAAACTTTTAGTTTTAGTCACTGTATCCAAAACTGCCTACTTAGTTCTTCAGTTCTCTCTGCTTCAGCTGAAACAGGCTTAGGGATCATAACTTCTGTTCTCCTGTGGTACCTGGCGTAATGCTGGTGTTAAAGATTTAATTTACTTAATTTATTATCAGTCACAAAAGTATTTTCATGGTCATTCATTTCCAAACAACACACATTTTGATCGGTGACTACTATGTGACAAGCACTATGCTAGGCACCAGAAATAAAAAGATGAAGATAGGGGCGCCTGGGTGGCTCAGTTGGTTAAGCGACTGCCTTCGGCTCAGGTCATGATCCTGGAGTCCCGGGATCGAGTCCCGCATCGGGCTC